ATAAAAGGTTTGATCAACATGTTACAAAAATAGGTTTTGTTAGGAGCCACTATGACTTTAGGGGTAGCCAAGAAAATCTTGAGAATAGATATCAAAAGAGACAAATTTCATAAAATTTTGTATCTATCCCAAGAAAATTATCTCAGGAAGGTGGTACAAAAATTCTATATGGATCAGTCTAAGAAAACTTCTGTACCACTGGCTGGCCATTTTAAACTTTGTGTTGATCAGTCTCCATCTACAGAAGAAGAAAAACTTGAAATGGCGAAGATCCCATATGCCAGTGCAGTGGGGTTTTTAATATACGCCATGATCTGCACTAGGCCTGATTTGGCCTATGCAGTTAGTGTATTAAGTAAATATATAGTAAATCCAGGCTCTGAGCATTGGTCTGCCATGAAGTGGTTGCTAAAGTATGTTAATACATCAATTGATCATGGTCTCATATATAAAAAGAAATTTGACAATTTGGTGTTAGAAGGATTTGTAGACTCAGATTTTGCAGGTGACAGGGACAGAAGAAGATCAACCTCATCTTATATGATGACCTTAAATGGAAATTGTATAAGCTGGAAGTCTCAACTTCAGTTAGTTGTAGCACTATCGAGTACAGAAGTTGAGTATATTGCTGGTACTAAAGAAGTCAAGGAAGCAATGTGGCTACAAGGACTATTGACGAAGCTGAAAGTTCTTAAGGGTTCAGCTATGATCTATTCTGACAGTCAATCTGCAATTCACTTGTGCAAAAACCCAGTCTACCATGAGAAGACCAAGCATATAGATGTGAGACACCACTTCATCAGAGAGAAGGTGGAGGAGGGAGTAGTACAACTGGAAAAGATCAACACAGAGGATAATCCATCAAATATGGCAACCAAGGTGATCAACGTTGGTAAGTTCTAGAAGTGTCTAGACTTACTAAACATTGGTAAGACTTGATGTTAGCTAGTCAAGTTAGAGCAGTGACATCTTCAGAGAAGTTCTAAATATTTTACAATGTCAGTTTTTCTGAGATTAAGGTGGAGTTTTGTGGAGTAATCTTAGGAAACGACATAAAGCAGAGAAAGGAATTGCACCAAGTGACAAGTCGTTTTGGTTAAAAGCTTAGTGGAGTAATCTCAGGAAGACACGTGGAAAGGCAGTGGAGACTTCCAAGTTTAGTCGGTCCATCATCTATTTTATGTTATAAGTTTGAGGATTTGAAACTTCACCGAGCACATATACAATTCTAGAGAGAGAACTTCTGGGTTTAGAGAGAGAAAGGAGAACGTTTGGTTTTCTGGTGAGAGAAACAATAAGCAATGATAATAGAAAAGAATCTGGGAGAGGTTTTGTACTGGGTGTTCTTCCACTGGGTATTCTTTACGGGTTGCTTGGTATTTTCTCTGGGTTTGCTCTAAATTAGGGTTCTTGTTGTAATCTGAATTGGGGCTCTTCTTGTATTGAGAGATTAGAGGGTGTAATAACTTTCTCTAATAGTAAATAGAGCTTTTCTGAGGAAGAGCTCAACGGGGATGTAGGAATTATTTCCGAACCTCGGTCAAACAAATTCTTGTGTTCTTGTTTTTCTTGGATCTTTAATATTTGTGATTTCTTATTTTTCGGTGAGTCTGTGTTAGAATCGGTCACTTTCTCCCATGTGCCATTCTTCTCTAGGGCCTCCATCTCCTAAAAAACAGCCTTCTTCCATTATGGAACACTTAGAGCTTTCTGTACATTCTTAGGTACATCCACACTTGACAAATGTGAAATAAACAAAGAGTAGGAAGGTGACAAATTTTTGTAAGACACATGATTTGAAATAGGATGATGAGTACATTGTCTAACACCTTTTCTAAGAGCAATGGGGGTGTTTTCAGGCACAACAATTTTAGAAGAAGAGGATAATTCAAAAGTGTTACCCGGATATGAAGATTCCATAACATTAGGATCTAGACTCGAATTGGAATCTCGACCTTCCAAGGATCCAATGTCATCTTTACTTTGAATCTTTCTATTTCTCGAGTAGACAAGCCCAAATAATTTATGCTTTTTTTCATCATCTATTCTAGTAACAACTTCATTGCTAAGCACTAAGGTAGGCTGTTCAATTGTAACAGTGATGTTGTCGTTTTCGATAACATTGCTGCCATTTTCAATTTCAAACAGTGAGTCTTCATAGGTATTCTCCCCCTGAAGAGGAGCATTGAAAAAACGCTGAGACTTGAAAAATGTTACATCCATGGTGACAAATTTTTTGTTTTGTTTTAGGATCAAAACAGCGGTAACCTTTTTGTGTTGATGCATAACCAAGAAAAACACACTTTAATGCACGAGGATCTAATTTATCACGATTATGATTATGTACATGCACAAAAGCCACACATCCGAATACTTTAAGTGGTAAATCAGAGACGATTCATGATGTAGGGAAGATTTCTTTAAACATTTTCAGTGGTGCTTTAAAATTCAAAACTCTTGGAAGGCATTCTATCAATTAAATAGGTGGCAGTAAGAATAGCTTCACCCCATAGGTATTTAGGAACCTTAGTTGTAAACATTAAGGACCTAGCAACTTGTAGGAGATGTTTATTTTTTCGTTCTGCCACTCCATTTTATTGTGGAGTATCTGTACAAGAGCTGTGATGAATAATCCCTTTTTTTGAAAAAATATGCCCCCAAAATTTTACTGAAATATTCTCTTCCATTGTCACTCCTAAAGACTTGAATTTTTTCTTGAAATTGTGTTTCCACCATATTGTAAAAATTTTTGAAATCTTGTTCAGTTTTTGATTTTTCTTTAAGTAGATAAACCCAAGAAACACGAGTATGATAATCAATTAGAGTTAGAAACCGTTTTTTTCCAGAAATTGTTGGGATCCTATATGGCCCCCAAATATCACTATGAATAAGTGCAAAGGGTTTATATGGCTGGGCAGGAAATGATGCACGACGATGCTTAGCAATTTGACAAATATCACACTGAAAAGATAATGCGGTTTTATTTCTGAATAAATTAGGAAACAAGTACTTCAAATATTGAAAGCTGGGATGGCCTAACCTAAAGTGCCATAACATTATTTCATCATTCCTAGAGATGGATAATGATTCAAGGCTAGAAAACTGAGCTTGTCCACATGAATTACTTCCATCTTCAAAGTAATAGAGTCCACCATTCTCCTTAGCACTGCCAATCATCCTCCCCGAGTCCATTTTTTGAAATTCACAATGAGTTGGGGGGGATTTAGCACAACACTTTAGGTCACAAGTTAATTTACTAATGGATAAAAAATTACACGAGAGATTAGGAACATGAAGAACATTATGGAGAACAAGGGATTTCAAAATAACTATTGATCCTTTCCCAGCGATGGCTGAAAGAGAACCATCGGCTATTTTAATTTTTTGATTCCCTGCACACGGACTATAGGAAGAAAACAGTTTAGAACATCCATTCATGTGATCAGTTGCCCCCGAGTCAATGATCCATGGATAATCTGAAATAAGGGACACACTCAAGGCAAGAGCTTGATGATAATTACCTTTTTGGGCTAAAGAACAAGAGGATGACACATTGTTTGAGAGTTGTGTAGATTGTAAAAGTTTGTACAGTTGTTCTAATTGTTCCTTACTGAACGAAGGAGTCTCTGAGGTTCCCTCAAGTGTGCTTTTTTCCTCAATACCTACCTGAAACGCCCTTGAGTCACGGTTAGGCTGCCCGAATGATTTTGGTTTCCAGTTTGGTGGCTTTCCATGCAGCTCCCAGCATGTGTCTCTCGTATGTCGAGGTTTATGGCAATGATCACACCATACTTTTTCTCCCCTTCTGTTTTGGCTTTTGTTTTGTCCACCAGGTTGTGTGGACTAATTATTTCTTGCCGCTAGAGCAGAAGCTTCAGTGTCTAATTGATTGCCTTCTCCCATCATCGTCTTCCTCCGCTTTTCCTCTCTTCGAACTTCAGAAAACACTTCACGGAGAGATGGCGTGGGTCTTTTGCCAAGAATACGGCCTAACTTCATCTAGGTTCTTGTTTAATCCTGCCAAGAACATACACACTCAATCATTCTCCATTCTCTTCAAATACCTCACACTGTCCTTTGCACAGTCCCATTCCTCATCATAACACAAGTCTAGTTCCTGCCACAAAGCCGTCATCTCATTGTAATACTCCATCACATCTCGATCGCCCTGCTTAGACAGCCACAGCTTTGTCTTTAATTCAAAGATCTAAGATGAATTCTCCACATCTTAGTATGTCTCCTGAACAACTTCCCAAACTGCCTTTGCAGTTGGTAAAAATAAAAATTTCTTTCCAATGGCTGATTCCATGGAATTGACGAGCCATGCAATCACCAAAGAGTTCTCGGATCTCCATGTCTTCAAGGTTGGATCATCATCTTTTGGTTTCTACGTTTCTCCAGTTAGGTGGTCGAGTTTCCCCTTTCCGTCAATCATCAGTTTAATCGACTGCATTCATTCTAAATAATTCTTACCGTTCAATTTGTGAACAGTTAATTGAAGAGATGGATTCTCTAATCCATGCATTGTTATGGCAGAATTTGTTGAGGTACTGCCATCTGAGGACGCGGAGTTATTTGCCCTTGTCATGGCTGTTTTAGCCATTAAAAATTCCCAAGGAAGAGCCTAGGCTCTGATACCATGAATGCATGACTGAGGGAAAACAATTTTTGATTATATTGAAAACGTACAGCAGTGAAACAAATAAATAGATCAGCCCTAGGATCTGATCTTTATTCCCCTAACTAATATCCCACAAATGTAGGAACTGATAACTACTCCTAAATATATCTAGAACCAATCCTAATAATCAGTTTAAATTTAAAAACATAACAGAAAATCCCTATCTTTCTACACTTACCATATCAAAATAGAACAAAACCAATTATTCAAAAACGTCTGTTGCCACTTTTATGACAAGTATCTGATGAACCAACAAAGTTTTTTAGTATTAAATACCATCACGTACGTGTTAAATGATAATAATGACAATGTCATGCAGTGCATGGTTAATGCTAGCACGGAGGAACGAATAGGGATGTTAAAATCAGGGTGAAATCTGTCAGTCAGAAGCTCCACCACCAGCATCACCATCAGACTCTGAGACAAGCGAAAGGAAAGATAAGGACAACAAAAAAGAACAAATCAATAACGAAATCAGGTAATCAGGGAGAGGACAAACCAGCAAATACTGTGACAAAGGATAAGGCAACAAGAATACAAAGGACAAAAGAGTGGTTTCAGGATTTGCAAGCCACAAGGGACCCTCCTGTGGCCAAATATGGCTACTCACACTCAGGCTGTGGTCCAACCTGATGACCATGGCCCTCTTGTGGTACCGACACCATATAAACTACACCCTTAATGAGCAAAACAACAAAAATGGACATTATGAGAGTCTAACGTCCACCAAAGAAAACACATTAATGTTGCTGTTATAACAAAAGTGAGTACTTCCAATTTATAATTGTTCCTATCTTTTTATGTTTTCTTAACTTCGATAAATGGCACTCTTTTTTCTTGTCTCTACACGGTTGGTGCCAACTAAGGAGAGAGGGAGCTTTAGGCAAAGAAACTGGCATGAACTACTATGAGTTTGAGGAGCAACAGTAAAGGGAATGCTCCTCCGCTGCTCACGACCCAGCTTTTCACAACTCCAAACGGGGTTGATCATGGTTCACTGAGTTCCAAACTTGTGGAGGTATAAGATATAACGGTCGACTATGATTGAAGAGTATATAGTAGATGGGATATAAACAGGTTATATGTGGTGTTCTAACTAATTGTCTCATTTATCCAGGAACAGGCATTATTATAGTACTGGGATTTACGTGCCAAGTGCACTTCAGAAAAAGTTCAAAGAGCAAATTAGGATTCACAGTCCTAGTTAGTGTATTACCAGTTTTTGAAGCTTATTCAAACGTTTTTCTTGATTACCCATTTATTATTGCATAATTTTGTTAGGATCAAAAGCATGGAGGGAAGCTCGAGTGATTAATGATGAAGCGGCAAAGCATGGCATATGGTAAGCTCCAATAAACCCGTCACTCACGCATGCATCTCCAGTGAAAATTCCCTTTTCTAGTAAAACTTCCCTCACATGCCACAACACTCTTCCCCCACTCTCAATTCTCTCAGACCATCAACCAAGGCTCCACAAACCAAAAATTATCTCTGTTTTCTGTATTTGTTCAATGAGTAATTCCCTTTAAAATATTTGGAAAAATTGGAAAATTAAGCTTTCTTCTTCTTCTTCTTCTTCTTCTTTTTGTTTGAATTGTGGAAAAATATGCTTTGGGTAGTGAAGAAATAAGATTGAAAAAGAAAAAAAAAATTAAAAAGATCAGCTTTTACAGATCAAGAGACTATGCACACACAGAAAAAAAAAACTCCCCCAAAAAAAAAAAAAAAAAAAAAAAAAAAAAAAAAAAAAAAAAACCAGCATAAAGTAACCCACATTAAATGCAATCTCACTTTATTGTTCCCTCCACGCGCTCCAAAAGGCGCTTTAGAACTGCTCGTGCAGTAACTTTTTGGCCATGCAAAATCAAGGCTTGATATCCTTTCTCAGAGCCTGCTAAATGAATGCTAAAGTTTTAATAAGAATATAAAGCAGAAAATAGTACGTTATGATTTTCGTATATGTAGGGTACTTGCGGGAAATATAAGGGTACATGGTTTCGTTCAAAGAGGATTCAATATGTAATGGTATCAGTTATTTGTGCGGTGTGCTATATACAGTATAATACGTTAGTGTGCCAGATAATACATACGTATATTACGTTGAAACTGAATTAAGGGTATCGGAATAAATCGACATATATGAAATAGTTGGCGTTTCTTACACTATTTGTAGTACTGATCATGTGGCAGGAGGTAATGTCCTGGACTAAGCAAGGGCAAAGAGCACAAAGCCCTTTTTTGGCAAGACATGCTTTGGCCTCATCTTGTAAGTAACCTCTGAAGCATTGTTTATTATCATCATTAATTTTCTTCTGCTGTAAGGTAACCTCTTATGCCCTCTGTCGTTTCTGTCGTTTCTTCCGATAAACAGAGGCTGTAGTTCATACAAAGGTGTGATCTTTCTATAAAATTGACCACTCCAAGCTCCCTCCCAATTACCCCTCCATTAGAGTACGTGGTCATGGTATTTTTCTCGCCAACCCCACTTCCAAAACTTCTTTTTATTAAATTTTATTGTTATCCATTTACTAGATTTTCAATCTCCAGTCACTCATTTGGGTTATATGCAGGTGAGTGAAAAGGCTAGGTCAAACGCTTCATTGACGTTCCCGAGCGTTCATTCCCTTCGCAACCTAAGGGTGTTCATCGGTTAAAAACCGACAATTTCAGTCGGTTTCAAAACCGAACCAACAATGTCGGTTTTTGAAAATTTAAAACCGAAACCGAACTGAAGAACAATGTCTTCAGTCAGTTAACCAACCGATTTTTATCAGTTTTTATCGGTCGGTTTCTTACTTAAAAAATTTTTTGTGAACTATTTTCTTAAATTTTAACCATTTAAATATTTAATATTTAAATAGTTAAAATTAAAAAGAAAAAATGGCTTAAAAGACAAAAAAATAAAGCCTAAAAGAATGTACCTTTAAGGACTAAGGCTTTACATCTAATCTCAATTAGAATAATTATTTATGTTGAAGTCCATCATATTATTGAAGATGGACGTTCAAAAGAAGTTAGACCTCTAACTTGTAAGTTGTGATGGAGAAATGAAATACATAGCCCTTTATATAGAATAGTTGAGGGAAGACATTCTTATCTTTTTTCAATGTGAGACTTTTAAAAGTCTGATGTGCTTAAATTTTCAAACACATCATACTTTTAATAGTCCCACATTAAAAGAGATGAGAATGTCTTCCCTCAACTATTCTATATAAATGGCTATGTATTTCATTTTTCCATCACAACTTACAAGTTAGAGAGATCTAACTTCTTTTAAACGTCTATCTTCAATAATATGATGGACTTATATTCACCATCTACAAGAATAGAGGTTTGAATCTATGGATAATAACTTTTTTTTTAAATGGAGTAGAAGGTGGTTGGTCGGTTCGGTTTAACTGATCACCTCAGTTGGCAGAACCGAAACCGAACTGCCCATGAACCATGGGCGGTCAGTTAACCGACCGAATTAGTCGGTTTGCTAACGTGGAACCGAATTTTTGGTTTTTTTCGATCAGTGTCGGTTCGGTGGTGGTTTTTCAGTTGTTTTGAACACTTCTACGCAACCATAGCAAACCGGAAGGGAAAAAGCTGCCGGCTTTGGATGAGAAGTACGTGATGGGGTCAAGCATGGCGGCCAAGATGCTTTTCAGGAGAATCCCAAGTCGGGAAATCGCTAAAGGTGGCAAGTCGTGGAGCTTCTGCGTATCATGACCAGCTTTGGCAGCCGCGAGCCCGTCGGTGACGTGGTTTTTATTTTTTTTAAAACTCTCTCCCTCTCTGTTCTTTCTTCCCCTTTCTTTTTAATTATAAGGGGTAAAATAGTAATCTTACTACGTAATCAGATATAAAGCCGCACACAAACACACTCACGCACTTACAGTCATACACTTATAAATAACGTACGTCTATTCGATTATTCGACACTTGTGAGTGTCGAATTCCGAATCATACTAAAATCTTCGAGCACACAAACTTCAGTGACTCTTGTTGTCATTCTGATGCTTTTGGCAGTGAGCTATTAACCTTGCTTGAGATGAATGATTGAAATCCAAATGTTTCCGGCATAAAGAGCATCTCAGACACGCAGCTGGTGCTACCACCTGATTCTCTTCTTCCTCATCCGGTGGGTTGTGTTCCATACTTTCGACTAGTTGATGGTTTTCCAGCACCTCTTCCTTCGGCTAGTTTTCCGGCACCTCTTCCTCCGGTGGGTTTTCCAGCACCTCTTCCTCCGGTTGTTATTATTATTGTTTTTTAAACACCTTAAAGCGTACTTTTCTCTTCCCTCTAAGAATCAAGATTCCGAAATGGAGATAATCTCCTACGACATTCCAGAACTGGCAGCTGCTCTGCTGCCGGTGGAAAACCCACCGGAGGAAGAGGTGCCAGAAAACCAACCGGAGGAAGAGGTACTGGAAAACCATCAACTAGTCGAAGTTATGGAACACAACACACCGGATGAGGAAGAAGAGAATCAGGTGGTAGTACCAGCTGCGTGTCTGAGATGCTCTTTATGCCGTAAACATTTGGATTTCAATAATCCCTCCCACGCAAGGTTAATAGCTCACCGCTAAAAGCATTAGAATGCCAACAAGAGTCGCTGCAGTTTGTGTGCTCGAAGATTTAAGCATAATTCGGAATTCGACACTCACGAGTGTCGAATAATCAAATAGGCGTGCGTTATTTATGGGTGTATGAGTGTGTGTGCGTTTGTGCATGTTTGTGTGCGGTTTTTAGTTTTTGCAATTTTCAAGAGCAAGAATTCGAGGAAAAAAAAAAAAGAAACCCAAGAAGCTATGGAGACTGTTGGTGGGGAAGCAATTTGTTCTTCGTGATTGGTGCCTGGGGTAAACTTTTCTTGGAAAACTCTTTTTCATTTTTCTGTTTTCTTTAAGAGCTTTTTCTTTGAATTGTTGACATGGCTATGACGGTTTGTGTAACCAAGCTATATGAACTTGATATCGATTTTTTTAGACGCGTATGTAAATGGCGAAAAATCTTTTGTTTTTTGCTTTGAAGTTTATAAAGTCATCTATGGTCGATTTAGAAATTAGTTATTAATAAACACCTCCGAGACATCTCATTAATGGGTCTGTTTCTCACAGGCTTATAGTTTTCTTTGAATTTGAGTCTGTTCTTCTGCTACTGGTCCATTGCCTTCTCCTATCCTGCCTCAGTGGCATGATAAGGCTAGCGGATTCTATTCTTCCTCAGGTACCTTCTTATTGATATTACTTGCTTTGTTTATTCTTGTTTTTGTTGTTTTATTTGCACTTACTTTAGTTTTTAATGCAGGTGCAAAGATTAAAGAATCTGGACAATCAGCTGGAAAATTTATGTGCGAGGTTGCGCAGGATGCAAGAGGTAATGTCGCAGATGCGGCAAGGCGAGTTGGCTCGCTGGTCAAAAGTTGATGGGCACTTCTTCAGCAGCCATCCACAAAACAGCCCTGCAAGAACTTGTTATATTCGCAGCTGCTACCACTGGCACATTATTTATAGGAGGGCCTTCTGGGAGACAATGGACAAGGATGTTGTTAGGAAGACAAAAAGTTGAAAAGGTAATTTTCTAGCCCTGTCTGTCAATTTAGATGAATCATCATTAATTGTGTAGCTGTGTGAAATTTGACTGTCGAGAGGATTTATTGTTTGAATCAACTCTTTCTTGAAGCCACGAAAATTTTGAGTCCATTATGGAAAGGTGTTCAAGGAGTTAGTATTTATATAGATATAAATATTGCCTATATGGCAATAGTATTTTCGAGCTTCTTCGCCATTCACCACTTGTAGACATGGTAAAGCTATTAGGGTTCACGAATTTGGTGGCCCTGAGGTTCTCTCTAAACACCCCTCTTTTATTTTTCCTCTTTCTGTTTTTTATCTAGCCTCATATCCTCAAAAGTTCGAAATTTTTTTACTGCTTTGCTAATTGGAAGTAATTCGGATCTTTTGCTTTGTGTTTTTGGTAATTAATAATGTTCATTTCTTGAGAAATAATCTTGAATTTTTTATGCGATTTTTTTTTTTTTTTAAGGATTAGAGGATCTTCTACTTGGAGTAAATGGTTGACATGTTGATATTGCGAGTAAATGATTAGCTGTGACAGTTGATGTTTAATTTTTTGCATGCTTAAGATCTCTGTGGTGAAATTTTTGCTAACTAATAAATTACCATATGTGAGTGGTTTCTTACTCTATTATTGTATTCATTGATTTGTTCTACATAACTGTGAAAAGGTGTTAAAATGATCGCAGAGCCAAAATGATCGTGTTAAAAACAAGGCTATTGGACTGAATTTCATTGATGTCTAATATCGCAAAGGGCTTTACAAGACTTTGACAACGCCTTTCACCCCAGATTTCGTTTCATATCTCAACCGTCAGTGGATGTTAAATGGAACAAAGTTTGGAGTAGGAAGATTCTTCCTCGTCACAAACTTCTCCTGTGGCAATGCAATTCTATTGGGGTATCTTACCAGTCCGGACTGCAATCTCTCACTTTATGGACTCTCCTCATTCTTGCCCTTTCAGTGAAGACGAGGAGGAAACTGCTGTTCATCTGTTCCTTCTCTGCCGTGCTGTGAAGCCCATTTGGTTTGCTTTTTTGTGGGGCCGTAGGACTGAGTATCTCCTGGTTCACTCCATGAGGAATTTCCTCAAAACTCGGCATTGAGGAGGGTCAAGACTTGGTTCCTGCTCAAGCGGACTTCCTTATTTTTGCCTCAATTGCTTTAGACCTTATTTGGTTCACGAGACACAGGAAGGTTTTCGAAGGAGTTCAACCAAACTTCCACAATCTTCAAGGTATATTGGCTTCCTCCCTTGCACAACCAAAATCCGGCCCTTTTTTGGCTTCCTCCACCCTCAGATTGGCTCAAACTGAACATAGACGGTGCCATTAAGGGCATGACGACTCAGTAGAACTCCGTCGTTCCTTCAAGGTATATTTGTCTGCATATTTGTTTTTTGTTATTCTCTTATCTGTATATAATTCGGTTCCTTCGGAGCAAACTTGGAATTATATGTATACTGACAGAAAGCTAATAATTTTGCAGATCGACCATCTGCAGCAGCACTAGATATCAGACCCCAACTTCAGTTCCTATGAAGCCAGCAGAATCAGATGATGGTCTGACTATTTTCGTTCCCGCCAATTTACTCTAGTATGAAGGTCCCCACAAAGCCAGTCACCCCATCCATATGTGGAATGTTTAGTTTACTGATGTGAATAACTTGGGAGTAGGTTAATATTTTAAATCTTACATTGTAATACGTTTCTCCCTTTTGATGTGAATAACTTGGAGTATGGTCAATATTAAAGTTGAAAGAGTACTATTAGCGATGCTAGAATCTGAAAAATTGTAGCTACCAAGTTGTTGGTTCCCACAACTTTACACGCTTACGTCATAATAAATGCATAGAAGTATCTCTCAATCTAATGTAATGCATTGAATTTTAGGATTGTTGTTTGAATCGTTGCATACTTATTTCGTTGTTGAATTATGTATACTTTTCTTGGCTCATTTAACCTATTTAAAAGTTCGTTTATCGAAAACGTACCAAGACACAAGATGAATGGCCTTCTGGTCAACCTTCAGTAGCACTTGAGATTTCTTTCCTAGCTACTTGTTCAGTTTCACTTTTAGCTAAGATGAGAAATTTTCATAAAAACCATCAAAGAGGTGACACCTTTTTATTTCTGTTATTATTTTAAAATTTATTTTATGTCACTGATAACCTGTAAAGGGTTACTTTTCATAAGTTGCATAATTTGTATGTTATTTTTTCAGGTCACTTTTCGTAATGTGCAAATTATTTTTTATAATGACATTTTATATAATAGCATAAGTAATAGAGTTGAAAAAAACAATTGCTAAACTAGAAATTTTCTTAATTTATAATATATGTGTTTGTATGTATTGTTTTTGCTATATATAAACACTTTAGTTACGTTAAAACGAAGTTAGTAAGCCTGTTATTTTGAATTACATGATTAAATATATACATGCGGTGGTCCATGGATTTTAAACTATTTTTATGTTATATAAATGCATTGGATTATAAACTAGGGAAATAGTAGAAAATATGCCAATTTAAAAATCTTAAGAAAGCATATAGGCCAATTTTTAATTATAAAAATTAATATGCCATAATTTTTGAATTTCTAAATTTACCCTTTCTTTTTTTTTCCTTTGTTTCTTTCAATCGTCTCTGTCTTTCTCTCTCTGTCGCAGATCTCTCTCTCTCTCTAGCTTCTCGTAGCTCTCTCTCTCTCGTAACTGCGCTCGGATTTTCTCTCTCGTCGGTGGATCGTCAGTGGATCATCGGTTTTCCATTTGCTCGTCGGTGAATCGTCGGTGGATCAACAGGTTCGTCGGTCGGTAGTTCTTGTTCTCGTTTGGATTTGAGCAGCTGTTCCGGTGATTTACTAGGTTTCTAGTTTTATTTTTGTTGTATTTTCGTTTTCATATTTTGCATTATTTCGGTTTGCTTTCTTTCTTTGTCTGTTAAGCCTTTGTTTTTTGCTGTTTTCCGGTCGATTTTTACGGAACAACATGTTTGGGCATTCTTCGTTTCTAGTTTTTTATTTTTTTTGTTGTAATTTCGTTTTCACGTTTTGCATTTTTTCGGTTTTGTTTTCAATTTGTTTCAGTCATGATAGTTTTTGTTATAACTTGTCCGGTTATAGAACATAACTTGACAAGTTATGGTCCATAATTGAGAGGTTTTTTTATATAACTTGTGCGGTTATGCACTTTAACGTGACAGTGTTCCTGTAATATGTTTGTAGGCATGCAATCTGTTTCAGTCATTGTTGCTTATAGGGGAAAATGGAGTCTAGAAAACCAATATACAAATTTTAGTTTTCAATCAGTTTTTATTCCAGAGGATGCTTCTTTGAAGTTTTTGCAGGAGTGTTTATGTGAGGAGCTGAATCTTGAGTTGTTTGGTTTTAATGCTGATGTTCATTCTTTATTACTTTTTGTGGGAAGGAAGTTGAAGGACTCAATTGAAATTGTTTCGGACCTAAAGAGGGATGATGATGTTAAGTTATTTTTAAACTTGGTTCGACACAGTAAGGAAGCTCTTGGATACCCGTTGGTAATAGATTTTGTTAGTAGCTCCGTTAGTGCAGTGGGATCTATTTCTTCTTCATCTTGTTTTATGAGTTCAAGAGATGAGGCGTCATCTTCTAATGTTGATGGTTCCGTTTGTTAATTTGAAGATGATATTGATGTTGCGATGAATAATTTTTTGATTGAAGATTTGGATATTTCAAAGTTACCTATGTCGTTTGATGTGAATGTAGGCAATCAATTCATGAGCAAGTCGGTTCTCAAGAAATTCATGCATGTAATTGCTATTAGGAGGCATTTTGAATTTAAATCTGAAAGATCTAATAATTCATTTTATGTTTTGGTTTGTAAAAATAAGAGTTGTACTTGGAAGATGCGTGCTGCTAAGGTTTCAAATGCTAATGTTTGGGCAGTGAAGAAGTATATTAAGGAACATACTTGTTCACTTGATGTTGCTAGTGCTGAGCATCGTCAAGCAAATAGTCGTGTTGTTTCGGAGTTTTTAAAGGGCGATTTTAGCATTGGGCTTGCAGACCATTTACGTCCTAATGATTTGAGGTCTATAATGCATGGTAAGCACGGTGTTGAGATTAGTTACTACAAAGCATGAATGGCTCGCCGATATGCATTAGCATCAATGAGAGGAAGTGCAGTGGAGTCGTATGCATCCATTCCTTTTCTGTGCAATGTTTTCAAGGAGAAAAATCCAGGTGATTTTTATTTTTATGTGTTATGCTTATGGTTTTGTTTATCTTAATGTTTTGAAGGAGAAAAATCCAGGTTATGGTATAATTTGTCAGGTTATTCCCATAACTTGACAGGTTATAGTCCATAACTTATGTTATCAGATAAGTTGACAGGGTTTTTGTTATAATTTTTCCGGTTATGGAGCATAACCGGTTTTATTTTTATGTGTTATTCTTATGCTTTTGTTTATCTTAATGTTTTGAAGGAGAAAAATCCAGGTTATGGTATAATTTGTCAGGTTATTCCCATAACTTGACAGGTTATAGTCCATAACTTATGTTATCAGATAAGTTGACAGATTTTTTGTTATAATTTGTCCGGTTATGGAGCATAACTTGACAGGTTATGAATCATAATTGACAGTTTTTTTTTTTTTTGCCAACCTTTCCCGGTAGGATTGTGACTAATAGTTATTTTAAATGTTTTTTTTTT